ACACACACACACACACACACACACACACACACACACACACACATACACACACACACACACATGCGTTGTTTCTCATTGGAATAGGAGCTAAGGGAAGGCCTGGGCTTGTTTCCATTCCCAGTGGACCCTTTTAGATAACCCCAGAACTAGTCTTTCCTAGGACAGAGACAGATCCAGAGTCCAAGCCTGGAGGTTTGGCAGAAGACCACTTTCCAGACGCGGGCCTCGTGATACTTGTTTCGTGGTACCTGCCCCGCTTGGATCCCTTTGCCCTGTCCTCTCTGGATGCTGGGTTTACCTTTCTCTCTCTGGGGCTATGTGCTAGGGGTCTTGTGTTCCTATCTCCCTCCCTTGGCATGCCTCCTCTTTCCCCCCCTGTTTACATTCTTTCACGTTGAGATCTGTCAAAACCCAGAAAGAGAGGGAGGGAGGTGAGAGCAGCTGGATGCCTGGGCTGGGAAAGCGGAGGCTGGAAGAACTGGTTTCTGCCTTTGGGGAGAGAACAGAGGGAGGAGGCTCCTATCCCATCATTCATGTCTCTTGTGTCCGGCATCAGAAGTGCTCTGAGTTCTGATCCTTAGTTCTGTGAAGCTGGACTGAAATCATCTGTGTCATTATTAATTCACAGTTAATATGGGGCAGCTTTTTAACACTGTAAGTTGTCTCAGTGGTGCTAACTTACATGGGTAGTGGGGATTTCCTCATTCATAAGGGAGTTCCCCGTGCCAGTGAAATCACAGAGCCAGTCCCCCATAGCCATCTAATTAATACTGCCTGGACCATTATGGTTAATGATGACAAATCCCTTTGAAGATTTTCACACACCCTGCCCCCCCCCTCCCAATAACTTCTCTGGCCCAGCAAGTGGCCCAGTGGGAATTAGGGGATGGGAGTGAGGAGCGGAAGTCCTAGGGGGAGAGATACATACAAGAGGTCATGGATCCCGGAGGGAATCCCTTGAGCTCCCTTACCCCACGTCCACCCCACCCCAGTACATCTACCTCTGATCCCATACCACCTTGTGGCTATAATCAATGAATCAGTCAACAGGTTTGCTGTGTAGCAGGCCCTGGGCTCAAAGTCAAACCACCACACAGATAGACGGTCCCTCCCCTCCCATAGCTAACATTTTAAGGAGAGACAACATATACTTACATAGGTATATACAAGACAGATGCAGCATAACATGGGAGAGAGTCAAGGGAGGGAGTGGGAAAGGCCTCCCCAAGGGTTGGTGGTTCAATTCAATAAACATTAAGTGCCTACTATGTGCCAGACACTGCTAAGCTCTGGGGACATCTAAGAGGTAAAAGACAACCCTTGCCCTCAGGGAGCTTACAATCTAAATTAGGGTTCAGCTGAGTCTTGAAGGAAACAAGGAATTCTAAGAAGTGTCGGGGAGTAGTGAGAGCATTCTGGGCAGGGGGGACAGCTGGTGCAAAGACACTGAGGTGGGAGATGGGAATATTATGTAGGAGTAACAATCAGTCCCTCCAAGTTTCCTTATACAATCTAAGTCAGTGATTCTCAAAGTATAAACTTTTCCAAGGGTCTTTGAGGTCAAGACTCTTCATAATAATAAGACATTTTCATTTCTAATATGGTAAATATCGGGAGAGATAACCTGCGTAAACAAATGCTCTTTAGGAGGTCTCCAATAGTGTTTAAGAATATAAAGAATATAAAGACCAAAACAATTTGAGAACTGCTGCCCTGGATCTACGATGCTATGATTACTGCCTTCTCCCTCCCTTTCTCAGCTGTGGTGCAGGGTGGGAATTCTGTAACTTCTCTTCTGGATCTAGCCATAGCAGATCAGGTCCTTGATGGGAGAGGGAAGAGAGCAGCGCAGGGTGCTCGCAGAAGGAAGGAAGTGGCTTAGGCTCTGGGTTCAAGATTGACACCTTTGTGGTTGTTCCCCATCCCATTGCCTGGTCTGCACGTAAGAACACCAGGAGTTGTTAGGAAATTGCTTCTTCTGAAACTCTGTCCTTCTAGAATATTGTTTTCAGTTCTGGGAGCCCTCTGGGTTTAAGAAGGGCATTGACAAAGCGGACAGTGTCCAGAGGAGGGCATCCAGGAAGGTGAAGGGCCCATGTCGTAGGACATAAGTTGGAAGAATGCTAGGTGTTTTTCACCCAGAAAAGACTTAGGGTGGGAGATGCTGTTTTTGTAGTCAGTACCTTGGTCTGAAATAAGGCCTTTTACTAACTGTGTGACCTTGGGCAAACCTCTCACCTGTCTGGGCCTCTGTTTCTTCATCTGTAAAATGAGGGCATTGGAGAAAATGGCTTCTTGAGGGCTCTTCCCCTTTGATCTTTGATCTTATGACCTGTCTCTGATACTGCCTGTGTGACCTTTGGGCCAGTCATGTGACCTGCATGGGTCTCCATTTCCTCATCTGAAAATTGAGGAGGTTGGAAGAGATCACTGGTGTCAAACTCATATAGAAACAGGGGTCACTAACCCTGACATAAGTCTCCCAATCATAATGGCTTAGAAAATCACATATTAACATTGTCTATGTTCTCTTGTATTTTTAAATTTAGTTTGTTAAACATCTTACAATTACATTTTTACTTGGTTGCTGGCACTCTGGGATGCTCACACTAGATGACTTAGGAGTTCTCTTCAAGCTCTCTTGTCTATGATCGTGTAAGATCTCAAGTCATGCCCATAGTGGGCTGTTGAGTGGAGAACCTGAAAACTCAAGGGATTTCTGGAAGCAATCGGCAGAAATTGCCAAGAGGCCAGATGTTAGGGTAGATGTTAGGAAGGACTGCCTAAAAATGAGAACTGTCTTACCACGAGTAGAATGAATGGGTTGCCTTGGGAGATCATGTATTTCTCTGTCATTGGAGATCTCTCAAAGAAGTGGGATGACCACTTGTCAGGTGGGGATTCCTTTCAGGTATGAGCTGGAGTTGGAGGGCCCCTGAGGTTCTTCTGGCTCTGAAACTCTGTGATTCCTGGACTCTGTTTACTCAGTTTCCTTACCTGGTATCTTTTGCTACCCTCAGGATGCCCGACGCTGACTTTACTGTCCGAGACGTCAAACTCCTAGTGGGTAAGTTGCTTGGTTTTTTCTTCTTCTGCCCTGGGGATAAAAGGCCCTGGGTGCCTTGGGTAGGCATGGATATCCTCTGGGAGGTGGTGGGGAGGAAGTGGTTTGTCACACACAGTCTAGCTGGTGAGGGAGCAGGAGGCTGAAGGGAACGGCCCCTGGTCCTGTGGCGGTTGCCACCATCTTTCTCTAAGAGAATGCTTGGTGGGGGTTCTAACACCAGCCTCAGGAGAAATATGACTAGAGTGTGGCTTGGAGGTTGGCAGACTTCCACTTCAGTGCCTAGCAGAGTAAAAACACAGAAGTCAGAGCTAGGAGGGGCCCTTAGAACTGGGAGTGTCAGGGTTCAAAGGGATCTTAGGACAGAAGTGTTAGAGGTACAAGAGACTTTAAACCATGAAATAATCAGAGCAGGGAGGATAACATCAGAACTTGGAAAAGGGCCTTAGAACGGGGAATGTCAGAGCTGGGAGGGGTCTTAGAACATAGACTGTCAGGGTTGGGAGGGGCCTCAGAACAGGGAATGTCGGAGCTGGGAGGGGTCTTAGAACAGGGAATGTCGGAGCTGGGAGGGTCCTTAGAACAGGGAATGTCAGAGCTGGAAGGGGCCTCAGAACAGGGAATGTCAGAGCTGGGAGGGTCCTTAGAACAGGGAATGTCAGAGCTGTCTAATCATGCACTTTTTACAAAGGAGGAAACAGTCACAGTTCTGGGACTAGAATCCAGCCCAAGGTTTTCTCCACAGTCCCACTCTTCCTAGGATGTTCCAGCTCATCCTTTGGTCTTCTCAGGGCTTAGGTACAATCTGTGCTTAGTTCTTGAGGTCCCTGGGAAGGTGACTTTTTTCTCTAGGGAGGCTCCGAGAGTTTGTCTCTCACCTTTCCTCAATTTCCTCCACTGTGCCTGCTACTTGGATTGGCCCAACTGTTCCCAACTGGGCTGTTCTCGACAGAACACTGGTTTGGATTGAGGTCTTTGGCAAATTGAGGTCTTTGGCAAATTAAGGTCTTTGCCTGGGCCCTGGGGGCTCAGAGCTTCTTAAAAACTGATCCTTGGCCAACTAGAAGTGAATGGTCCAACAGAGAGGGATGACAAAAGTGTGTGTTGTGGATGTGCATGTTACGGGAGAGTCTACTCCAAATACTCAGACGTGTTCAGGAGTTTGTGTGCTGTATGGTGGCGGGCAGATCTGGGTTAATTAGAGAAGACTTGGAGGAGATTCATCTTTGAGCTTTGTCGAAGACCAGAGTTTTGTGGAATGATCGAGGGAAAGACCCTGACAATTTCAGTGGTGAGGGTGAAAGGGGAGGGGAGTTTTCCTAAAGGAATAAGGGCATCAAAGGAGGGTCACGCCCATATCTAATGATTTTAGTTGGAAGGGGTTAAAATGGAATCATCTTTTAAAATTTTCTTTCTTTCTTTTCTTTCTTTTTAATTTTTTCTTTTTTCTCCCTCCTTCCTTCCTTCTGTCCTCTTTCTTTTTCTTTCTTTCTTTCTTTCTTTTTCTTTCTTTCCTTTCTCTTCCTTTCGTATTTTCTCTCCCTCTCACCGCCTCTCCTAATTGAACGGTTCAAAAAAAAAAAATGATAAACAAACCTTTATACCAAACACTCAGAGTCTAGCAAAACAAATTCCCACGTTGGTCGTGCCCCAAAGTGTACGTCTCGTTCTGGGTTTCACATTCATCACCTCTCTGGTAGGAGGTGAGTTTCAACTTCATTTTGCCAGGATCGTGGTTTATCTTTGCATTGATTGGCATTCTGAAGTTTCTTAAAGCTGCTTTTCTTTGTAATGTTGTCATTGAGTGAATGAGTCTCTTGGTCCTGCTCACTTCCATGGGCATGAGGTCCCTGAGGACTTCCCAGTTGCCTCTGAAACTGCCCTTTTGGTTGTTTCTTAGGGCTCAGTAGCGCTGTCACACTTGTATGGGTGTTTGTTTTCACCATTCCCCCACAGGTGTTTCCAGTTTTTGGCTACTGCTAAAAGAACCATTATAAAGATTTTTGTAGGTACATGGAATTTTCAATTGGGCAATCAATCAGTCAAGTTAACACGTGTTTATTTAGCCCTCCCAGTGTAGGGGGCACTTGGTTAAGCTCTGAGAATACAAAGAAAAATCAAAATCAGTCCTTGCTTTCAAGGAGTTTGTATTGGAATGGGGGAGATAATAGCACATAAGTAGGTATATACAAGGTACCTGCAGATGTAAGTAGGTATAAGGTAACCATGGAGGGGGAATGGGGTAAAGACCTCCTATAGCAGCTGCCACTTCAACTGAGTCTGTAATAAAAGATGCCAGAGATTCAAAGAGTTGGAGGTGAGGAGGGAAAGCATTCCAGCCATAATCCGGAGTGATGGATGTGGGGCACAGGCTGCAATGGTTGGACCATGAGAAGGAGGGGTAAGGTGTAAGAAGACTAGAAAGGGCTTTATTTATTTATTTTTTTAATTCTCTCTCTTTTTTGGGGGGGGGGTTAGGTAATGGGGTTAAGTGACTTGCCCAGGGTCACACAGCTAGTAAGCGTTATGTGTCTGAGGCCAGATTTGAACTCAGGTTCTCCTGGATCCAGGGCCGGTGCTCTAACCACTGCACCACCTAGCTGCCCCTGGGAATGACTTTAAATGCCAAACAGGGAATAGATATTTGGTCCTAGAGGTAATAGGGAGCCAGTAGAATTTATTGAGTGGGGGTAGAGGGTGACTGGTCACCACAGCTGCTCAGATCTGGGATTTAGGAAAATCGCTTTGGCAGCAGAGTTGGAGGATGGTTGGAGCGGGGAAAGGCTTGAGAGGCAGGGACACCTATGAGAGGACTGTGGCAGTCATCCATGGGAGAAGGGATGAGGGTCTGAACTGGGGTGGTGGGAGTGTGAGTACAGAGAAAGCAAACATGTGCAAGTAGAAAACACAAGATTTGCAATTGAGTGGATCTATAGGGAGTAAGGGAGGGTGAGCAGTCAGGGATGAGAGGAAGGCTGACGATGAAAACCTGGGCATTTGGAAGGCTGGTGGGGCCCTCCGTAAGTGATAGCGAAGCCCATTGGCCAGCAATACTCCTTTTCTTGTCGAGACTGGGATCTTTGCTGTGTTACAATCAGCTCCAGCTTGACCTCTCTGATCCCTGCCTTCATGATGCATAAGAGTTTATTTTTATTTTAAAATAAAATTTTATTTTTGCTTTAAAATAAAATTTTATTTTTATTTTAAAAGTGGATCGTATTTGATTTAGGATAGAAGCATGGCATAGTGGATAGGAGAGCTAGCTTTGGTAGCCCTGGAGCCAGGAAGACCCGGTTTCAAGTCCTGCTGTGTGACCCTGGGCAAGTTACTTAACCTCTCTGTGCCCCAGGCAACTCTCTTAGGATTATAAACGACAATGAAAGGGCCGACCTGCTTTGGCCGAGGGAGTTCCTCTTCATTTGGTAGCTCCTCTTGCCAGTGAATTCACCCGTCCATCCCTAGCTTAATATTGTTTTTTAAATTTAATCCAATTTTTATTTATTGTCTTTTGTTGAAGCTTCATTTTAGAATACCTCCCTTCTCTTGCCTTTTCTACCCAGGGAACCACACCTTGTAGGAAATGTTTTAAAAGAAAGAGGAAAAAAAAAAAAACAGTTGAGCAAAATTACACAGCCCTACAGTTGTGAGAGACATCACTTTCCAGTAATACAAACACATAGTTAACCATTTCTGTAAAGGAGGAAGTAGGAGGAAGAACTGTTGTTTTTTTTAAACCTGACCTCTGATGTCATTCAAGGAGGCAGCTGACTTGGAGGGCTTTCTCTACAACTTATGGCCTTAGAGAGTTGCTTAGAACTCATAGAGGTCAGGTGACTTGTCCAAGGTCACACAGCCACTGTGTGCCTCAGGTGGGATTTGAACCCAGGTCTGTCTTTCTGGCCTGTACTATACCAGGCTGCCTCCTCGAATAACATTTTTGAAAGTGTGTTCTGTAGGCCTATTACCATAAGTCTGAACTAAGAGTCTGAAAGAACTCTTTATCTCATTTAGGTATGGGGGACATTGGGGAGAGAGTGAAAGGGGGGCTTTCCTGGGCTAAATCACTGCCCATTTCTTGGAGGAGGGTGGAGCTGACCCTTGCAGACTAGTAACTCACAGGCTGGTTTCTGGAAATCTCTTCATTAGAGACTAGCCTGATGGGGGCCCCTTGGAGAGCCTCAGAATTTCCAGGAGCTGTTAACTAGAAAGTTAGGTGTTAATTGGTCGGGATTTCCCTATTGACTTTCTTCTCTGAAATGTTTTCTCTTACTTTCCTGAGGCTATCCTGTAAGGGGGGGGGCGGCGTCAGCTACCTTGCTCTTTGACCTTTGTCCCTCCCCGCTGTATGGCTGGAACTCCAGGGGGGCTTAGCTTTTCTGGGGAGCTCAGGAAAGTGGAAAGCCTTTTCTTTGTTTCCTGGAAGGTGACTTATCCCCCGCTAGAGTAGCTGTTTGGTAAATTTTTGTTTGGATTTGTTCTCAATTTCCCATCTGTTCTGTCTTTTTTCTCCTCTTCATTCTCTCCCTCTCTCCCTCTTTTCTTCCCTCCTTCCTTCCCTCCCTCCTTCCTTCCCTCCCTCCCTCCTTCCCTTCTTTCTCTTCCTCTCTTCCTCCATCTCTCCTTCTCTTCTTCCCCCACCCTCCTTCTCTTCTTTCCTTCCTTCTTCCCTCCCTTTCCTTCCCTTCCTTCCCCTCCTTCCCCCTTCCCTTTTTACTTCTTATTCCCTTTTGTCCAGTGGATTTCACTGATTTTACAGCAGACTTGTTAAATTTTGTCTGCATTTCCCAGAAAGGAAAGGGGGGAGGTGTTTCCTGACTGAGCAGGGTGCTAGAATGTAGCCTGAGGTTCCACATGTGGGGGGGAACCATCTGACTTTCAACCTTGAAATGTTCTTGGAGGCAATGAGTGGGGTGCAGACCTGGCTTGGAGGCAGAGGATTAGGTGAAGGGACTTCAGGCACTCTCTCACCCACCCCCACCCCATTTTACGGAGGAGGAAATGGA